GGGGGGGGGAAGGGGGGGGAGCAGACAGACAGTGAAAGTAAGCCCAAATTGCACATAATAAATATTGAAGGTGCACAGGTTGGTGCACTTGCGGAAGGCATTGTCATTTTGTATGCTAATACTTCATTGGTTTGTATTTATATAGAGGCTGTTTTTTGTATGATAGTTTGTATCAATTCACCTGGTCTGCTTCATGTTAATAAAGAAATTATTAGTTAGGGAACTGTGCGATTAAGCATTTGGAGACTCTATAGCCAGGATAAGGAAGAGAATTGGGCTTATAAAAAACCAAGTAAGTAAATGCCAAAGACAACTGTTCTATAATTTGTATTTATTTATTTTAAATACCTGTCATGTTTTAAAATGGGTATAAAAACAGTGTGATTTGATTGACTGGAAAATGTCTGTATCAGACTGTTTACTAATAAAATCTTCCTTCTTACTCTGAAAATTGTTGCATACCTCAAAAAAAAAATATAACAGCAAGATTAACAATGAAATGATGGCCCTCTTTAAAAGTAGGTTTGTCTGAACTTGTAACATTGTAAATAATTACTTTTGTGTCTAATGTGTTACACATGACATTTAGAAAACACTTCACTACGGCAAGACAATTTGGCAACAGATTAGATCAGGAAGAAAGAACTGCAGGAAAGACTTTAATCAGCATTCATTATTTATTCCTGTATTCTGAGAAAATTATATATGCCAAATACAGGCCTTTAATCAAATAATGATTAAAATATTCAGATCTCACCTACGTAGTTAGATGCATTGACCCAAATTTCAGGCATCCAAGGGGAAAACGCTGTAGTTTGTGCAGCTGATCGAAGCGCTCTGTTCCCACCCCCTGCTGTAATTAATTTGGCCAGCAATCCATTGTTTGTTTTTTGTCACTTTTTTTGTTTTGAAAAGTTCCCCCGTCTGCTGTTCATACCATGTTTTAAGATAAACAAGACGATCCTTTTCATTTGTCTGTCTTTTTCTTCTTTGTAGCTAACTGCCAGGCCACCTGAACAAATCAACTGCTCACAAGGTCCCCAAATAAACACGTCTTCTGGTACGGGTAACTGAGGTTAACTGGACAGAGGCAAATGAAACTCATTCCTCTTCATTTTGTCTTCTTTTGTAGTTAATCTGCTGGATTCAAAAACAATTCAAGGGGAGCTGGGCTGGATCTCCTACCCATCACATGGGGTGAGTTCACTAGACTGTGAAATGGGAAAGTGCTGCTACAGACCAATGTGCTATTTAACCATTGTTTCCTCTTCAGAGGACACTGTGCAATAGCGCTGGCTCTTTGGAGCTTCAAAAATAGTCTGTTCTAAACTTGCAATGTATGGCTTATATAGATATGGTGCCTTCTCTTTAGAACATACATCACACTGCACGTAATACCCAGGAAGAGCTCTCTCTTATTGGCGAAAATGGAAGCAAGAGGTGCATTGAGGGGAAAAAAAAATTGTCTTTAGGTACTGTTCCTTCTTCTATTGCAATGTGTATTTTTAAAAGATATCATCAGACTGTTCCATAGTATTACTCGCTAATTTATTCAGATGGAAATAATGGAAGATGAAAAATGTGTGGACATAAGCAGGTGATGTAAGTACTTATTTGACAACTTTTGTGCTGAATTGCTCAAGTATGGTTACCGAGGAGTTAAAATGTTACTAAATAAATGTCTAAATAATGCTCTTGAGGGTTTTTTTTTTAATTTACCTTGTATCCAAATCTAATGAAACTAGATGTTCTATTTGGAGATGTAAAAGTGCAGTCTTAGAGCATCTGTGCTTTCAAACTTGCTAACTCTATCATTTTTGCATAGCATTTACCACCAGCCTCTTTTTAAAATTTTTGATGCCTTAATATCAGTGCATAGCCGTCCAGTAATAGTGACATCTGGTCTCTCCCCAGCTTCTTGTGTCTGTGGAATGTATATATGTGTCTGTGTGTGTGTTCAGGAACAACCCATTACGGTCTTTCTACGTTGCATAGAGCAGATATGCAAGGAGACTCTTGCATTCCTTCACTGTGTACCCTGAACGAAAAAAAAAACAAAAACAAAAAAACAAAAAACCACTTGGCAGGCTGATTTTCTGGTGTCTAGAGCTTCTGTTGCCCTCAGAGAAAGCTGTGCCATCAAGTCTTTGCTGAAAGAAGGCGCTCGGAGACCTGTGGCTCCTTCTCTTGCTGCCCTGTCACTTGTGCCTACCCTCATGATGCTTTGTTTTCTTCCTCTGTGGCAGTCATATTTTGGATTTCTACCTGTAGGATGACAACTTCTAGAAGAGTTTGTGTCCTCTGTCTGCCCGTGTCTTCTACCCTTCAAAAAAACCTCTGCTAAGAGAGTATTGCCACTTCTAAGGCCTTGTCTCTAGTCTTGACAAGGGCGAGGAGTTGCTAGCTAAGAGTCCAGCCATTGTCCTTTCTCCAAACCAACTGCATTTTGAATTCTTGGTGTTGGCAGGTATTTGCTCATTGGTTTGCTTGTAGGATCGTGAACATCCGCTTTTTGATTCTTCTGCAGCTTTGGGCAAGCTGTTACTTCACCTTTATCACTTTTACAGAGAATAGTGGTAATACTACTTTTGCATCTCTGTCCTATGGGATTCAGTAGTTAGTATTTAAGTAGTGCCTTCTTGATATGAAGTGTTATGCAGGTGTTTAGCAGTATTTAAGGATTAAGGCTTGGTTTATTTTTTGAGTTTATACATGGATCTCTCTCTATGTCTCTGAACAAATTGTTCCATTCTCATGGGGAAGAAGTGGGAAGAGGGTTCATGTTTCTTTCTAGTGGCTGGTCCTGCTGACTTTTCCCAATAAGAAACCTCTATAAACAGGATGTCCAAGAGGGAACTCTCCAGCAATTTCTAGCTCATCAGTTTTTTTTGCCTCCACTTGCATTTTTTCTTTTTTCTTTTTTTTTTTTTTTGCAAAGCCTTTTTTTTTTTTTTTCTGTTTGTTTCTGTGACAGCTGTCCTGCTCTACTCTCCTTTGCTCTTCTGCTCTGTTCATCTCCTTGCAGCTGTGCAGATCTACTGCTCTGCTCCCTGCAGCTGTGCCTCTCTTGCCTTGGATGCTTAAAGCAGTTGGTAGGGAGTGATACAGGGTATCTTGGGGGCTGTAAGAAAAACAGATGTGCTACATTACCCCACCAAAAAGGGCCCCCAGATCTCTCAAAGCAAATTTATTAGCTTCTGCAAGTTTTTATCAGGTAAATCCGGCACAACTTGTTTGTGTGTGTGTCTGTGCATGCTGTTCCTGTTTACTGTAATATCCACAGATATCAAAGCCAAAGTAAATCAGGGAATTGTACTGATGTTCTTACAAGTTAATGAAATTCTTAGTTAAAAATTGCATGGTAGTAAATTAATGTAGATCATGTACTGTGAGTGTTTTTGTAAGATAACTGACACTTTAAACTGTAGCCTTCAGAGTACCCTGAAATTTTAAGCTTACATATTGAGACATGAATGTAAAGTATAGAAATAGTAACATCTATCCTATCTGAATTGGCATTTTGCCGTAAAACGCTGACAACTTGAACATCATGTGAAAGAGACACCTTCTTTTTACAGCCCTTTATTTATAGTCAATTAATTAAACCTGGTAAATATGGCTGCATCTGTCTCTGAGCTAACTAAAATATGAACTTAAACTTTAGTGGAAAAACATTATAATAAAGATGTCACATCATATTGAAAGATTGCTAATAGCATAGTGGTGATTTACAAGGTAAAGCTAATAGAGCTACACTTGAGGCTGTGATTCACAAATGAGAATATTGGTGTTGTGCCAGTTCTTCTCCAGCATGCAGCAGTGGTCTCATCTGAAGCCATAAATGCCTGTATACTAAGGCTGGTCACTTACAGAATTTTTAAAAATAATTCAGCCAAAGTGTTTAGTAAACCTCTTACTAAGGTAATAATTTGACCGTATCAATACATGGTATTGACTGATTTCTGGCAAAACAACCCAAAGTCATTGGTTGTAATTTTCAGTATTCAATTGTTGTTCTTTATTCTTTTAAGTTTGCCTTGACTTGGGCAATTATAATAATAGCTTCCCAGAAATTCCTGAATATTCCGTTTAAGATTTATAGCTCATTTGTAGTCGAAGATTTCTGTGTCCCACATAAGTACACTCTAATGGCAGTGTTTTAGACCATGGTTAATAATATCACCCTGTAAGAATGTGATCTCTCCTTGAACCATCCCACACAGCCACAGTCTTGGCGTCAGTAACACTGGTCTGGTCAAGCTCATTAAAATCCCCTAAGTACAAAACACCAGCCCCTCTAGATAGGAAAGCGACAGAATTTAAAAAATATAATAGGGGGCTTTGCTGATGCTTGAGCATGATTGGCAGCAGCCACAAGGCCTGTATCCTCTATGACCATCTCCAGCACCTGCCTAGACAACCTTTTTGTAATGCCAATCAGTCAAATACCAGTTCCATTTCTATAGGTTTCATTAAAGGGGAAAGAAAGAAGAGCTACTTAGTCTGTGCAGAGTATATTATTGATATGCTGATTAAGCATAACGCAAGTGATCATTAACTGCAATTCACGTAAATTACAGCAGCACAGATGTGGGGGTTGGGAGGATAAAAAAGCAAGTCACTAATAATATACAATAGAAATGTGATGGATAATTCATACAGGACAAAAAGAGTACAGTTAAAATCCCGCCCTGCATATTCATGCGAGTAGTTGTATTGGTTTCAGCATCTTTTTTTTAAGTAAGAAAGATGCTTCTAATTTGACTCTAGCTCCATGTTCTTTGGGAAGCTTGAGGAAAAAAAAAGTGACATAATCGCAGTATATCATTCTTCAGTCACCCAACTTGTGACTTGATCTTTACATGTTTATTACTCATATTTATGGACTTGAAATTTTGGGGCATTTTTTTTTCTATGTACTCTGTACAAAAGTAAAAGAGAAGTCATGCTTATCTTGCTTTCCTTGTAACTAGAGAAAAGAACGCTCTGGCATTTATTATTGCCATGTAAGAGGTAATTGAAAAAAAAAACAAACAAAAAAACCACAAACCAAAACAAAAAAAACGCAACCCCAAATCAAACAAAAAAACCCCCAAACAAACAAACAAAAAAAACGCCAATCCCAACCTGTTCTGTATGGGACCAAAGTTAGTTAATTGTGGGGAAAATTTGAAAAGGCTGGTTGGGAAATAAAGATACTGTCTTTGATCATGACAGTTTTCTAGGTCCAGGAGTTTCTTCAGAACCATCCGACTTCTTTGAGAGCAGGCTGTGCTCAGTACCTTAAACTTTTGGGCACGTACTTGAGCTTCTGACTGTACGCTGAAGTGCTTTGAAAATTTGATGTGAATAACTTTGCTTTTTCTTCGGGGTCAGTCATTCGTGATCAAAACAAGCTGATCATCTCAGTAATGGAAACTGGTTTGTAAGTATTAGAGGACAGCAGGATAACATTCCCTGCTTCTGTAATAGTTTGTGTGATGCTAGGAAGGCTAGCGCATGCGTGACTGAGATTAATGAGAGTTTTTCCATCAACCGAAATTGGGTTAGAATCTAAAAATGCAAGTGAAAATGAGGAAAATGACTCCTTTCTTGTATTTCAAAAGCCTGAAAGCAGTTTGTCTTGTTAGACTGTATTACTGCCTACACAGGACAGTGGCAGTCTCCCTGGCTGCATTTGTTCTGGTTTCAATAGTCAGCTAATGTGTGGCACTGTAAAAACTTTTTTGCCTTTTTTTTTGTGGGCTATCATGGACACAGTGACTGAAGAAGACTCTGACTAAATAAGCATTTGGATATCCCTTATGACTGGATGAAGGTAGAGAACTTTTGCAGAGTTACATTTTGCCTGTGATTAAGGTACACTCAAATGAGCTGCATTCCAGAATCAGTTATTCAGGCCACTGTGAACAGAAGGTTTATCTGTTTATATGGAAGACGTTTTCAAGATTAATAAGTATTTCCATGAGTGGCGGAAATAATAAGGTTTGTTTTCCTGTAGCTTTGTATCTTGTAGTTAAATGCGTCCTGTGATTGAAGGGTGGTTTTTTTTTTTTTTTGCAGTAGGTCCTTAATGCCAGTGGGTTTCCTGGTGTGGTGCTTCAGCCTTCCCCTCAGCTGGGCACACAAAAAGTTTCCCTTCCCTCCACATGGCTCTTATTTTCACACCACTGCAGAATCTTAGGACAGCTGAGCCA